TTGGTGTCATATAATTTCAAGGTTAAAACTGTTGCCTTGCCAAAAAGATCCTTGCTACCTAGCTCGTAGCTTACTTATAATAATTACTATAATAGCTTACTTATAAAATTGTATTGACCGTGGCCAGGAAAATACATAATCAAATTTGTTAAAATATACTGAGGTCATGGCTCGCTGGACGACCCTTGATTTAAAGTGTAAAATAACAAATTTGGAATCAGTTCTAATCAGGTTGAATTAGGCTCTTCAGATCCTAGTCCTCTCAAAACCTGAATGAAATAATAATAATTAATTCCCTTACAAATTAATGAGTAATTTCATTACAAAGTGATGATAATCTCTTAAAGGTCAGTATTTTTAGAGATGTGCACTATTACCATAGTTTTTCAGCCCTTCAGCTGTTCATAAACATCCTTACTTTTCTCACAATCTTCTTGTAAACATTTTAGTATATAAGTTTACCCTCTCTTTTTGATTTTGTTTCTTCTTCCATGATGCATATATTCACAATATAGCTGGTATCACTTCTCCATTTTTGTTTCTCTGAATGTAGTTTTTAAAGCAATGTGTTATTTTTCACTTAAAAATGTTATCCGTAAGAAGATCATTATACATTTCCATTCCATATTGATGGAACATAAACTGTTAGACTGTTTTTGCGTCATTTTAATTTATTCATTAATAATCAGACATTTCCAAATCATTATAATATTTTATCATGCAAATTCCAGAAAAGTGGAACTCCAACAGCCCCCAGTATTCCTCTCAATAATGAAGCTGCTGGACCTGCAGGACCCACAAAACACCCAGTGATCATCCCAGTAGCACAGCCACTCATGATTTCCAACAGTTTGACGTATTTCAGCTGATCTTCAGTGAATCTCCTGACCCATCTGTTGCATATCTGCGTGCAAACAGCTCCTGAAGTGGCTCCTGTCACTGCTGATAACACACCTCCAGCACAACCGTACAGAAATGTTTTAACATCGAATGAACCTTCATTCCTCATATTAACACAACCCAGTACAAATACAGTGACAACACTGACTGCACACATAAATTTTAGCTTTGTAAATCTCAGCAGAAATACTTCTGACTGATCTTTAAACATTTGTAAAGTGTAGCAGCTATTCTCATTTTCACAAACCATTCGTTCAATCTTCATCAGGAGTTTGGTGACCTGCTCTCTGTCATTCAGATCTTTGTTGTTCAGTAAGTGAAATCTCCCTCCACACTCCTCTGTTAGTTTGGACAGCTCTGCATTACATCTTATTAGTTGATCGATTGATTTATTTTGAAGCTCATCTCCATGTGTGAACAGGACTAATGTGTGTTTCATGGCGTCTTCACCAAACATCTGCTTGAATAAGAACATGGTATCTGCATCTTGCTCAGTGAAAGTGTGTAAAGGGAAAACCAGAAGAATTGCGTGGATTCCTGAAGAGCACATGTTCAGTCCTCTCTTGTATACGACTTCCCGCCCTTTGTAGATACATGTTTGATGTTTAAATTTGGTCTTGGTGGTCCTAATTCTTTAATTGACAATTCATCTGCGCTGACGTAACGTTCGCCAAGATGTCGATCAAGTTCAACTGACAACTGAATTTGAGTTGGCATAGCTGTGCCCGTCTCTGTTTTTTTTTTTTTTCTTCTTTTTTCACATTTGATAAAGATATTAAAGTAGTTTTTCATTTTTTTCTTGTTGTTAAAATTCAAAATAGTTTTTAAATATTATTGGATGTCACTGTTCCCACCAATCCTTGCAATCAATGTTTCCCGTATTGAAGAAAGTTGGAGTGTCAGTTACTGTAACTCTTCTGTTTGACACTTCAGCCGTGTGTTTTTGGCATCTGTCGGTGAGGTCAGGCTTCGCCCAGACTGAAACACATTTTCACCGAGGATAGTGTTTCCAGAAGCGCTCACTCCTGAACCGGTTTTACCGGTCAGCAGAATCTGAAGATGGTCCACAGTTTGCCGCATCACTGAAAAACGCAAGAAATATTGCTCTTAATCTTTATAAAGCTTAATTCTGAAAACCGCTTTAAAATCAACAGCAAAATATTCAGTAAAGTCTGTTATAGCTGTAATATCATCATCGGTTCCTCGCCGTTATGCTTCACTAAAGCGTAACATCATCGTAGACAGGGCCGTACCCACCATTGAGGTCCCTCCTCGGTATTTTTCCAATAACAGAAGTTGTAAAATAATTACCATATATTAATTCTGCTTTGGTGCTGCAAGGATAAAAAGCCAAGATAACAGATAACGTGCACATTTAGAGTGCGTTCTTTCACTGCATGATTCAGTCTGTTAAAATACATTTAAAATGATCACAGATTCAAGACATGGGGGCAGACAATGTATATATTTATACCACTTCATATATTTAATCAATTTCACACGAAGAGTGCCATTTTTCTCCAAAAATTACCTTGGTTACAAATGTGATATTGATTTTTTACAACAGCTCAATAAACAAAAAGTTAATTAAGAGACTTACGTTTTAGATACCATATGTCCTGTTTTTGCTCTATTTCGCCAACAAAAATAATTCCAAACACAGCCACAAATAACAGAAGTTGTAAAATAATTACCATATATTAATTCTGCTTTGGTGCTGCAAGGATAAAAAGCCAAGATAACAGATAACGGGCACATTTAGAGTGCGTTCTTTCACTGCATGATTCAGTCTGTTAAAATACATTTAGAATGATCACAGATTCAAGACATGGGGGCAGACAATGTATATATTTATACCACTTCATATATTTAATCAATTTCACACGAAGAGTGCCATTTTTCTCCAAAAATTACCTTGGTTACAAATGTGATATTGATTTTTTACAACAGCTCAATAAACAAAAAGTTAATTAAGAGACTTACGTTTTAGATACCATATGTCCTGTTTTTGCTCTATTTCGCCAACAAAAATAATTCCAAACACAGCCACAACACTGTTTTTCGTCTCTGAGCAACATGACGGTGTTTCGTTCCTGAATGAATGAACCGTTTAAATTATTCGGTTCAATCGCAGTGACTCACTTATTAACAGTGACTTGCTGCCACCTACTGGCGGTTTTAATTTCACATTTCGACTTTTTTCCCCCCGGTTTTTTCCATGTTTTAAATAATTTCAAATATCATTATTTAACGTTTTATGTTTAATATATCAAAATATTATTTATGCATTTGTAATTGCAGTTAAATGCATTCATGTCTTGCATTAAACAGTGTGTAAATACATCTAAATGCCACTTCAGATGCAGCTTCTGTGTTGATTTAATGTGCTTAGTAACAGCCCAAATGT